CTTGTACTTTCTTCTCTGGTTTCTACCCACACTGAGAGAAGTTAATAAATGTGAAGCTCAGGTGCAGAAAGTGAGAATTTCAAATCAGGTCTTCAGTTCTGAAAGCTTCAACTTCCAATGATGGCCCTCCATTACTGTCGTTTCTTTTTGCCGTGGTTCTAACTCTAGTCCTTGAGTCTGGTGATGATATCATGTGGTCCACACAGTCATGATGATTACTGTGCATTTCTCAGACTTGTATCTGGCTCCAGGATCAGAAGAAATTATAAATTTCTAAAATGAAATTTCTAAATGAGGACAACAACACAGGATTGGCCTCTCTGACCTACAAGCATGATACAGCACCAATGGGGTCTTGACCATCACAACTGTTTGTTACCCAACCTTCAGGTCCTTGGCTCTCTCTTCTAGGCTCAGTAATTAGAAAGCAAACTACCACGAAACTCAGTCTGAGTAATGGAGGAAAACAGCACTCAAATCAAAACCTACTGTTCATGGTTCAAGAGAAGGGAGCTAGAGTAGAAGAAGAGAATGTTTGAAAGGCCTCCTTGCCTTGCCTTTCAGTCAGTAAGAAATCTAGTATTCTATCTCAGTATCCAGCTACTGTGTTTTTCTTGAAAGCCTTCTCAATGAATTGGGAATTAAATTTTGTGTCTTGAAGTCAGCGTCTGTCACCCTCTCTTGCTTTACTTCAGCCCTGTCCCCTCATCTCTTAGATGGAGACTGTGCTCACTTTCCTATCCAAACATTCAGCTATCAGCTTCAAAAGAAAAGGACTGCTGTGTACTTGGCCTCCTGTCTCCTCAAGAACAACTTTGCAATTCTCTGAACTGTAGCCTCTATAGGCTGAGTTGCAGACTGAGAGTCAAGACACAGATGTTCAAGCCCAGGCCCAGGGCTAGTCCCAGACAGGTTATCTGTAAAGCAAGATTATAATGTGCTCCTGGGACACCCGACAGATGTTTTTTGGAACTGGCATAAAGCTCTTTGTGGAGCCCCGTAAGTTGATTTTTTTTCTATATTTCGATGGATAATTTGAATCCTGAAACTAGAGCTACTATCCATCTTATATTATAAATTATAACTAGTAGATTCACTTACATCTCAGCATTAGAGTGGGACAGAAGGAAGCGGGCCAAGGTGAAGACGCTGAATTTCTAACATGCTTCTGTTATGACTTTTATTTTTAAATATATAGGTATTTAAACTCTAGTCCTTATTAATTTCTTAAATCTTCAGATCAAGCTAGAAAAGAAATCTTTTTAAAATTACACTAATAAATGTATCACTTAAGGGGAAGGAGACAGTCATAGGAGGTGCTTGGGCTCAAACTCCTCAGGAAATTGTCTGCTTCCTGCACATACCTTTGCTGAGCTAACTAGTCTGCATGCCTCCTTACAGAGTAAAATATCCTATAGACTGGAAGGCTTCAGAGACAGGTGATTAGCCAAGTCAGGATAGCCAGGTACAACAAACTTCAGGGCTTAAGTGCAATTCCATACTGACAAAGACCCTTGAAATTCCAAGTGACATTTCTTATAGATGTCACAATTCTTAGAGAAGCAGTAGGATGCTCTGTGTGGTTCTACAGTGGATAATATCTAAGTTTGTAAGTCATAAAGAGCATTTAGAAAGGATGTTGTCTTCTCTTTGTGTTGTTTCCCAGCAGGTAATTTCAGCATTGTATGAGTGCTCATAAGAGGAGAATGTCTGAAAACAAAGTGATATTGTCCAAGAAAATATACCTGGAAAAGCACTGAAATATAGTTAAATTTGTGGAATAACAAGAGACTGTTCTCAAAAGATAAACATTGAAATTTTTCGCTTAAATCTTATCTTCAAATATTTGTTTAAATCAAATACAGAATAGACTAAGTTCCATGGAGTACATTTTACTTATTTAAAAAGGAAGGTCAAATCCAAACCAGATATCTGTTTTCTTTAGTTACCATGACAACTAGATGCCAATTGAGTAAAGTTTTCTTCCAATTGTTTTAAACATATGGATCTTAACTTAGAGAGAGACTGTGAAAACGTTTTACTAAATCAATGCACTATGATCAATTTGAAAACTTGACTAATATTTTCAAGGCTCATGCCTTGAACCTTTGAAGATACATGCATGAACCTCTTCAAACATCCATCTTTCCATCTCCCTAGCACAAGATGGTTATTGATGATAGCTTCGTAATGAGTTTAGATTTTAAAATCCACACATCAGCTGGGCCCAGAAGCATACACTGTACTATTGGCACTCAGGAAGCTTAGGCAGGAGGATTGAGAGTGTGAAATTAGCTTTAACTACTTAGTGAGACCCAGTCTCAACAAAAATCAAAGCAAGCCAACTTATTCATATTGGATCGTACTCTTGAGTAGGGTTTTGAGTTTGCTTTGGTTAGCTTGATGGGTTTGTTTTAACAAATTTTTAACTCCTAACTTTTTTGAAAAATAAACCACAATACATCTCCAGCCACAAACAGGATAATGAACAAGAGATAGCAGGCTTCTGAAAGGAGAGGCAAGTAATGAAGACTTGTGGTTTCCAGCCGTTAATGCTGGGGTTATCAGTTTTGCTGTCAGCAACTTCAGTGTGTAAGAAAACTAAAAAGCAAAGGTTTTCTCAGGAGGGTTGGGAGTAGATAATTCTAAGAAACCCTTTGAAAAAAGAAAGAAAGAAAGAAAGAAAGAAAGAAAGAAAGAAAGAAAGAAAGAAAGAAAAAGCCAATCTTGTCTAGAGCTAAAGCCAAAATAGAATCTTAGGAATTAGCCTTCTGCCCTGAGTGCCAGAACAGATCCCAACCTTTCATTTGAACTTCTTGGTAGAAAAAAACCTGGAGAATTATAATGTGCTCATGAGGAAGCCTTCTCTGAACAGCTTGTTCTCTTAGGATATCCCTGCTCTGTCCTGATCCAATTGTACTATGGAGAGCATCAGGCACCTTCTCATCAACAGTCACTCCTCTCAACCAATCTGGCCAATTGACTTGGTTATAGTTTCACTACCATGGACCCCGTTGCTAAAACTCAAACCCAGATGCTGTGTAGAACATTTAAAAAGTCAACCTGTTTCTACTTGCACATGCATTACCAAGCTTTTCTGTTGAGGAAGACCTGCTGCCTTGACCATAACTATAAGAGATAAAAATGTATTGTAATTCAATATAGTTTTCATTTGATACCAACAAGCCCAATTCTTTTTTAGTAAATACTAAGGTCCATGTTCACAAGAAAAGTTACTGTTGAAAGTCAGAAATGAAACGTATGATTAGAAATCTGTTCACAGGTCGGTTGTCATTCCTTATTGTATGTAAAACAGGGCTCCTTCCTTTGCAGTTATTTAAGATAATACAGAAGCCAAGTTTCTGAGAACACAAAATGTAGCACAATTCAGGAACTTCAATCAGGCAGTTGTCTTTCTCAAAGCATCAAGATTTCCAGTTTGAAGGAAAGGGGGAGAATGTGCATACCTGGATTAGTGGTAGGTTCTACTCAAAGCAAGGCGTGAAAGAAGAGGAAGCAGGTAGAGGATCCAGTTTTGGGACCAGCATTCATTCCATAGCACCTTTTAGAATACAACAAGAAATGGGCTTAGCTGGTTTTATATGTACAAGTACTTTCTAAAAATGGTAGTTGTTACCCTCTGGTGGTTTGTGCCTACAATCCTAGCACTCAGGACATGAAAACAGAAGAATCACTTGTTCAAGGTCATCCTTGTCTAGACAGCAAATTCAAAGCCAGTCTGGGACACATGAGACCATGTCTCATAAGAAAGGACTCAAAGAAAATAGCAAATATCTATAAGCTCAGCACTTAGGAGACTGAGACAAAAGGATTAAGAGGTTGAATACAGAGGCTGGAGAGATGGCTCTTTCAAGAAGTCCTAAGTTCAATTCCCAGCAACCACATCTGTAATGGGATCCGATACCCTCTTCTGGTGCATCTGAAGACAGCTACAGTGTACTTATATACAATAATAAATAAATAAATAATTCTTTTTTAAAAAAGAGTTTGAATACAGCCTGGAATACATAAAAAGTTATCTCAAACAAACATAAACAAAAATCACTCAATTCAAATTGTAGTCCAGCCCTTAAAAAAGAATCAGGTCCACCCAAATGGAGATAAATCTACCATTTACCTTCAGTGGGATTTTTCCAGTCTACAAAACAGGGAAAACATCCTATAATAGCTTCAACATCGCCATCCTCCAGTTTGAATTGACTATGCAGACCTTCTTAGAAGTCTGTGCTCTTAATTGACATAAAGCAAATAGGAACACATTGAAGCCAAAGGACAAAACTGAGTATTATCCTCACAAATACTATCTACCTCATAGGAGCCACGGTGTCTCTTCTTGGCTTGACATTCCCATTCACCAGTGAGGCTAGACGGGCTGCCAGCAGGCCCTGAGGATCTCCCGTCTCAGAAGAGTCCTTCCCAATGCTGGGATTACAAGCGCATGCCACCATGTGCAAAATTTTTATGTGGGTTTTGGAAATCAAACTCAGGTCCTCATGCTTACAGAGCAAGAATTTTACCAGCTGAGCTATACCCCTAGCCTTTTGAGGTTTTTGCTTTTGATTTTGATTTAGTTTGGTTTGGTTTGATTTGAGACAGGGTATCATGTAGCCGAGGCTGGGCTGGTACTCAAGGATCACCTAGAACTCCTCATCCTTCTGCCTCTACCTCCCTACTATAGCATTATGATGTGTTTGTGTGGTGTCAGGGATCACACCCAGGGCCCATACTGGATCCTCAGTTCTAGAAACTTATCTACAGTTGTCCTACCCCATCCCTCCTCCAACCCTAACTCATTTCAGCTCCTAATTAGAAGTCAAACTGACTGTTCCTTCTTTCTTCCCACCTTGTTCACACTTCCATGTAATGCTATCAAGGCTACCATACTACTAACAAGATATAGAATGTTCTAGATTTCTAGCCAAAGCCTGTTTAATTCTCATTGAGCTGCAAGCTATCATCTCAGTTGACTATATTTTCAGAAAGCCAGCCTCCTGCCAAACCATCTGTTTTCATCATGAAGAACGGAACAAATGTTGCTTGTCTGGTGAAGGATTTCTACCCCAAAGACGTGAATATAAGTCTCAGATCATCCAAGAAGATAGCGGAATTCGACCCTGCTATAGTCATCTCCCCCAGTGGGAAGTACAGTGCTGTCAAGCTTGGTCAGTATGGGGATTCAAATTCAGTGACATGTTCAGTTCAGCACAACAGTGAAACTGTGCACTCAACTGACTTTGAACCACATGCAAATTCTTTCGGTAAGTATCTAGCTTAAAGAACTAAAGCTAAGATGGGCAAGCTAGAGGAAAGAGAAGCTAGCGATGTGAACTCGGGGTGGATTTCTTTTGATTTAGCATCGTGCTGGTAAAAGTAATAAGGTTCCATCTCTGGTAAAGAAGGAAATGCTTAGCATCTCTCCTCTTGTTTAATCCCCACCCCTCATCTTCACCAATCAAAATATCTGCCACCAAGGGTATCATTTAGTCCAACACAAAGCCCAAAATTCCATAAGGGTGGCTGTCTCATGGTGGGATTAAAAATCCTTGTCCTGCCTACAAATTAGAAAGCATCTTGATGCTGTACCAAGGATGCCAAAAAGGTCCCAAACCGAAGGAATTCTGTCTGAACAAACAGCTGCGTGAGCCTTTTGCCCTCTGTTTACTGGCCCAGAGTCTCCTCCTTTGGCTTCTTGGTTGTCATCACCATCTTGACCACTGTTGTTTCTTCCAGATAATATAAAACCACCAGAACCTGAAAATGACACACAAATTTCAGAGCCTTGCCATGGCCCAACAGGTTAGTTCAAATCAAGTGGTTAAAACAAATTCTGTTGTTGTCACCTGGGACCTGAAAGCATCAAATTCAAAAGACAAACACACACACACACACACACTGAGCCCAGCTGGTTCCCTTGGCCTCCACCCCAGCAGAGCTTGCCAGGCTATGAGCCAATGTTTCCCAGACTGGCCTGTCTGGGTGGGTACAGGAGCCTGAGGTCTCTGAGTGCTATTTGGGACCACACTGGGAGTGCAGACCAGGAGGAACCATGGTGATCTGGGGCAGACTGGTGAGAGCTGTTGACACTGTAGAAAGAAATTTGGTCTCCCTTGACTCCACTGTCCTTTCTTTTGTTCAGTCACAGTTCACACCAAGAAGGTAAATATGATGTCCCTCACAGTGCTGGGGCTCCGACTGCTGTTTGCCAAGACTGTTGCTGTCAATTTTCTCTTTACTGCCACATTATTCCTTTAAAGTAAGAATTGGTCACTTCATCTTCCCAGCTCCACCCTAATTATGCTATAAATTGTAAAGGAGGTTAAAAATGGTAATAAATAAGGTAAGTGTGTCGAACACTCCTATAATTCTAGCATTTGGAAAGCTGAGACAAGAGGATTAATGTGAGTTCAAGACCAGCCTGGGCTATATAATACCAAGCCAGCCAGGGCTACATAAAAGAGATTATTTCACAAAAAAGAAAGAAATGAAAGGGAGGGAAGAAGGAGAGAGAGACAAAGAAAGAGAGAGAGGGGGAGGGAGGAAGGGAGAAAAGAAGGGAGGGAGGGAGAGAGGGAGAGGGGGAGGGAGGGAGAGGAGGAAGGAGGGAGAGGGGGAGGGAGGGAGAGGGAGAGGCAAAAAGAGAGAGACAGAGACAGAGAGAGAGACAGAGACAGAGACAGAGAGACCTAGCCTTACCTATAAAGCTCCACTTTCCAGGGGGCTGGAGAAGATGGCTCAGTGGCTAAGAGCACTGGCTACTCTTCCAGAGAACCAGAGTTCAATTTGCAACTCACAACCATCTGTAACTCAAGTTCCAGGAATCTAACATCCTCTTCTGGCCTCCAAAAACACTATAAACACTTGGTTCACAGATATACATGCAGACTTAATACCCATAAACATAAATAAAATACTCCTCTCCCTTATTTTCCCCAGTGCAGCCAGATGTTCATCAATTCATGTTCAAGGGATGAGCCTACATTTCAAGGGTTGGATTGATCTATAGGTGCAGCCACTCATTCCTAAATGAGTATGTAGCTAGCTCTGCCTGTTAACTTTACTAGCAGTTCAGAGGTCACACACAGCACAGCAGTACAGAGAATGTTACCCCTAGACATTAGAAGACCATGTTTTAGTCCTGACCTTGTGACTAGCTCCTGGATACCTCAATCAATTTGCTTACCCTCTCTGGGCTTGGGTTTATGAATAACTACAAGAAAGCAAACAGGTTTGATTACTATACTGACCAGCAGAACCCTTGCCATGTTAGCAGTGACATGTTCTGCAGTTGATTAATGATGTCTGTACTGTAATGGTATCACAAAGTAGACACCAACCTTCCCAAAATGATTTCATCACTAACTCTTTCCAGTCTCAGGGTCTGTGATTCTATAACAACTTTCCTTTGCTTACAGGTGGGCAGGCATGAGGAGACTACGGTACCTGAAAGAAATCAAAAGCTTAAAAAGGGGCTATATCCAAGGCTTCCAACTTCTCAGTGCTTCAAACTGACCCTTCACCACCATATTTAAACAGCTGCTAACAAAACCAGCTTTACTGTGACAGCAACGAGCCTAGTTAATCCTCTGGTCTAGAAGAAAAGCAAAAGCCCTAGGGAGTGGAGTGTGCCCTGGCTTTACATGCTGCTTTATAAAGGCATGGAACGCTACGAAAACAGATCCATTTTATTTTGCCCCTATAACTGGTATACTTTGAAAATGGTGTTTTGTCCTTCTTTATTTACCCAGAACTAGAAAGTGGGGACCAGTAAATCCCCAGCGTCATTATCCAGGAGGAAAATGGTCTTGGGAGAGAGAACCATATCTTCTTAGCCAAACATGGAAAGTTGCACTCAGCTCATCCCTAGCCGGAGGCCCCCCTCCTCCTCTCAGAAGCCCCCTCCTCTCAGAGGCCCCCTCCTCCTCTCAGAGGCCCCCTCCTCCTCGCAGAGGCCCCCTCCTCCTCGCAGGAGGCCCCCTCCTCCTCGCAGAGGCCCCCTCCTCCTCGCAGAGGCCCCCTCCTCCTCTCCTAAGGCATGTTTGGCCCAACCTCCAGATTTACTCCAACAGCCATACAGTAGAGTTTTCCTAACAGCACCAAGGTGTGAACAATTTTAGCACTTTCTGTTTCTCCTAATACTTTATAAGCAAAATCACATTTGGCTTCCTTAATGCTCTCCAAGCAGACAATAAAGCTTCTAAAATCACATCTAATTATTCTCCACTCTATTACCAAAGACAAAAGTGAAATACAAAAAGGAAGGACACTCTTTCTGTGAACTGACTTTGAGTGTACAAACAGACTGAGTCCCAGACACAATACAGAGTACAGAATTAATACCTGTGCCCAGCCTGCAAACAATTCACTGTGCAAGCATTTTGGAAACAGGAATAAGGATGTCACACTCCCCCTTCCTGTAAAAACAGTACTTTCATTGTCTTTGCCTGCCAGTCTATACCCAGGCTTTTGACATCACTGGGCACAGATCCTCTCCCCTCAGTCTTTGATGCTCGTGCCCTTCTGCCTTTCTTCTCGGGCCTGCCTATCTTGCATTTATTAAGCTGCTCACCTCTGGCTTCAAGGTGGGGAGGGGGATGCTCAGAGCCATTAGTCTCCTGGAAGCCAGGCTGAGCGTGTCAGTCACACCACAGCTTCCTGTGCTTGGGCCTTCCATCCTGTCTGGGGAACTGGGCCCTGGTTTCCGGCTGCTATTACAACAGCAGCACCCTCAGTGTGTTCAGCTCTGTCAATCCCAGCTCAGCAAGGCCATGACTCTATCACATCCACTAAGGGGACCAGGCCCTAACAACTCAATACCGTGGTTCCCTCAGTCCCTATGAGAAGTATAAAGCGGGGATCATGGCATGACGTATGAAAAAGCAATTATCACTGTCAATTCCCTAGCTCCCATCAACCACAGCCTCCAAAGCAAGGGAGGTAATGATGCTATGTGTCACTGGGTTCAGGCAAACCTAGATAGATAAGCCAGGTCTACCCCGGGGAAAAGCAACCACAGCACTCCACAAGGATGCCTAGTGCCAGAGCACTCACTTCTGCTACCTTGCTGTGACATCAGAATGATATTCTGAAGTTGTTAGAAAACATCACATTCTCTCTTTTCCAAGCAGAACAAAAACATTTACCCAACCTGCCTTCCCCTCCACCTGAAAAAAAAAAAAGATTGTACTTTGTCAAAAGTCATTCAGTGAGGCAGAGATATGTCTAGAAATGGAACCAAGGTCTCAAGACTGACAGCCCAAAGTTACTGTCCCAGGAGTTCCCTATATCTCCAAAATGAGGACAATGTGTCAATCCAAATGTCACTATGCTGAGCTTCAGAACTGCCTCTTGTCAGCAACAAATGAGACAGACAACTCTGACCTGACATGCCAGGAAAAATAAAATTCTAGCATAGCGCAGAACTATGAATTCCTCCCACCAAAATGAGCCTCCAAAATTTTAAATTAATATTTTAGTTAGTATATGAATAACGAGTTTGATGGAAAAATTTTCCTACTGGTATGTCATTGTATCTTGTTTAGATCTACCACCACCTCCATTACTCTCACGTTTCTCTCACTCTCTCTCTCTCTCTCTCTTTCTCTTCTCTCTCTCTCTCTTCCTCTCTCTCTCTCTCTCTCTCTCTCTCTCTCTCTCTCTCTCTCTCTC